TGAATATTGACATTTTAAGGTCGGAGCAGTTTCGTGTGGCATTCTACATAGTGTTTTGGACGGCAAAATAAACTGTTAAGTGGAATGAACGATAGAGACAATATATGTGTTTTAATATGTTTTCTAAGGATATTTTCCAGTGACAATAATTAAAATTTCTTAATTACTTTAGGGAATTTAAAATTTCATAACTACCAAATAAGTAATTTTGTATTTGATAAAATATTTTAGTGAATGCATTGAATTTTATTGTATAAATAAATGTGTATATAAATGTAAAAGGTCTTGTTTGTAAAATAGTTATTTTGATGATAGAACTACCCACTCTGGCCATCTCTGACTTGTGACACAGTATCATCAGTTATATTCATCATCAACATATATATCATCAACATTTAAACTCAGATCTTGTGTAAAATAAACTGAGTAAGTTCTTATGTAAAATAAACTGTTTGACAGAAAATGTAATGATATCTGAATGCAAGAAGTATTGTTTAACAAAACATAAATATCTGAGCAATGTAACTAAAAAAGTTAAAGAACTGTCCTGTACATATCCTTTACACTTTAGTTTAGAACTATCTTAGAATAACTAACAAGAACTATGCTTTATATTTTATTTTAAAATGGCCAATGATATTTCCAGATTTCAATTTTTAATTTTAAAATGACCAATGATTATATTTAGTTCTTCCCTTTAAATTTTACAGGAAGTCAAACTGAAAAAAGATCGGCCTTGGCCTAAAAAAAATTATATGTAACATGCAAAATATAACTGAGTTAAAAATATGGATTCAGCATTATAGCAGAGATAATTTCTGTGTGTTAACTTATAAGCCATCATCAATTATAAGATACGACGTCATTGCACACCTGCAAAATGCTCCCGATTGGACTGTTTATTTTATTTTTTTATTTTAGACATCCCGTCCAATTGAAGGTATGTTGGTTTTTGATTGGAATATCAAAGTATATTGTAGCACACCAAAGATTGGCTTTAGTGCTTGATATAAGTTTTAAAAAAAGCGTTTAAAGTTTCTTTGTCTGGTTTAAGCCAACGCAATGGATAAATTTTGTTTGTGAGTCCGAGTTGGAGCATTTAGGAAAAAACCTTCAGGCTTTCAATGTTTCTAATGCATTTATTTAAATTCATACTTGCTATTATTCAAAATTTAAACTTCAAATCAAAAAGAAAATGACTTTAAAATGTCTGACAAGAGCTTTCTTGTGGAAAATAAGGACATTTATAAATGTAATATTGCAAACCATTAATTGCATGATTTTTTAGGAATTCATATTTTGGACATTCACGCATATTCGTACAATATTTGTACGGTAGCATATGATAACCTTTAATAAAACTAGAGCTATCAATTTAAATCCCCATCAGCTACCTTTTTTGAAAAGTAAGTAATTTGAAGCGAAATTTTAAATCGATATCTTATGATGTTTCATCTGGATACCAATTTATTATCATAGTATTTAAGGTTTTACAACGCACAAAAAGGGATAACTATTTCCATTTTAACATGCTAATAATAAAAGATAATCAATAAAAAATGTTAAACTAAATTGATCATAGAAGTAATTTTGCTGACGTCATTTGTTTTGATGTTGCCATATCTGACTCCATATGACTATATAAGCATTTCTTGTGTTATGATGTGCATATATCGTACAATAATGCTTTCGTATGCCTTGTCTTTTTCATAGGAGAATAATGTGTCGCTCGTTAAAATTTTATAAAATTTGTATTATTTAAAGGATATTGTAGGAAGGCCTCGGGGAAAATATGATTTATCCTAGACAGTACCCTTCGGTCTTTAAGTATATGCATTTATTTTCATTATTTATTTTGGAAATATATTTCAATTCTGAGTGCATTGTTGTAGAATAATGCACGGTTTGAGTTCAAATGAGTAGTAATATAACTACGAAGGCTGATAGGTCTGAGTGATTAATTACAAAGCCTTTGAACGAAAAACCGTGCATTATTATATCATAATGAACGTCAAGAAAAAATATAATAATTATTATATAGTTGGACTCTATGTTTGGTTTCACCTCAGAGTTTGCAATTGAAACGTTCTTTAAAGGCTGTTCCAGTCGGTTGAAACAAAACTCTCATTAAGGCTAACGTGTGTAGAAACAGTTTTTAAATAACGAATTTTGAAAACGTTGATATTATTCTGTTTGTTTATCTCATTTGACTCTATATTATTTTTCTTGGAAAATACAAAGTATCGATAGGAAAATAAATGTGATATTTAACTCGTTTGCGACATTGAAATAGCGTTCCTGTTTTGATCGTTTTTGCACGTGCTGTTTGGCACTACATTGTGACGTTAAGTAAACAACACTTTAAACGTATGTACAACTTTAACAACTGAATTAAAGATATCGGTGTTCGGATTTATTTTCTAAGTTAGATTATTTTCTTTCATTCAAGATAGTTTTAACAACGAAATCGACAAAAAAACTGTTTTCACCAGATTTTTTCAAACAAAATGGTGCCATCAGTGTGACAATTGGAAATACCGAGGGAGGAAATAAGAACATCGAATGCATTGTTGTGAAATAAATCACGCTTCCGGCCTTCTTTGTTTATATAAGAGAAATCTCCGATAGTGTCAGTATTATTTATCTAGCTGTATAAACATTTATTTGACTGTGTACATCATAACAAAGTGGTATCCTTCAATAAAATATAATAACTACGCGTTATTTTATTTTCACCGCTTCTGACTTATGTATGTGCAAAAATAATAAAGAATGTAGGTCAAAGATTCGTTTATTCGCGAAAACTCTTGAAATCGGGTTTCACTTCTCGTGCGGGAAAGCAAAGAGTTTTGTTTGTGTGCGTTTTGTTCTTTCTTTTGTTTTGATGTTTTTGTTGTTTTGCATTTGAAGGAGTAATAGACAAAATGGTTTCACACTAAAACCCAAGCACACAAAATGACTTTCTGAATGCATTCAGCTCTTTACTATTTGTCGACAGTAGTAATTCAACGTAATATGAAACACATTATTTCAACATTTTGAATATTAAATGAATTCAACTTATTAGATACATAAATAATGCCTTTAATAATCAATTCAACATAAAAAAACACATTGATTAACCTAATAGATACGTTACTTAACTCTATTAAATATATAATATTTTCACTGTTATTAAGGCACACTTGTCATTATGGTCTAAAGATAGAATATTCAACTCCTATAAACGGGAAAATAAAAAGTGTTTAAAGTGTTAAAGATAGAAGATAAAAATTGAAGTTAGAAAATGTTGATAATGGCGCACCATCAAAATTTAGGTAATATGTCGCCGAAACAGGAAAGAAGATTATGGCTGAACTCGGGTGTTGTGTTACAAACTTACAAAGCAATATCAGGTGCCAGAATCATCGCACCTGCAAAAGCTAGGAGATGCAAAGACGCTAGTTCTTCGATTAATTCGTCTTTTAGGGTCCCACAGTGTCATTTTTATAAATGCATCAAACCTTGAAGCCAAATCAAAAATCAAAAAGGATACCATTTAATGATAAATAATTTTATTATACCGGTCGTGGTCTGTATGCTTACCTGATATCATGATATATGCTTTTGTTCTTGCATATCAGACAGGATTATCTCCCCGTTTTCTTAAATATGTTCTACATCTTGTGAGAAATTTATATCGAATCACTATGATATCAATATGATGCTACTTTTTAATGAAATTTGATTTAATAAATATTTTTCAGAGAAAAATATAAATTGCCAAAAATATAAGTTTTATACCATTTATTAATTATCTGTTAAACGTAATTTCTTCGCAATTTGATAATTGAGGATAATCACGTTTAAAACGAAGCAAATTTGGAGGTTACAATAACGTCCATTTTAATACTCGACTCGCTGCGTAAATTATAGCAAGGCACCATGGTTTTAATAATATACTCGTACTGTTTTCATGAAGAGTTTTTTTTGAAATGCCCCCCCCCCCCCTTCCGATAAATCATACACCTTAGATTCAGAAAATCTTTTACAACTGCTGCACATGCAAATTACATTGAAAGAGTCCCTGTTAATACTACCCTTTCTTGAGTAATTTTGTTATTCGCCCGTTTTATTTATGTACGAGTTTTTCACAGAGGTTTTAATTAACTACACGTTCATTAAATAGTAAAGATCCCTTCCCTTCCGATGTGCATTTTCTATATGTACTTAGTTTATAATGATTTATAAGACACAGGAAACAAAATTAAACCAACAAATGTATTAATTATTGAAGAAAGGATAATCTTATAAGTACACCAAAAAATGTTTCTAAGCATATAAGTCAAAAGGATTTAATGTGAATCAAGAAATACCGTACTATGATAGCTTATAATTTATGATTTATTTTGTGTTTTTATGTTTAATAATCATATGTGAAATAAAGAATATTAAGAGCTGGTATTGTAAGTACATGAATAATAAAAAGTAAAACGTAGATACCGTACTATAAGATCTTACGATTTATGATTTCCTTATGTTTTATGTCTTATCATCATGTGCAAAAAAAAAATATTATAAGTTAATGTATAAACTTTAAAAAAATAAATACCTTACGATAATGTCTTATGATTTTTTATTACTTTATTTTTTTAATGTTTTATTATCAAGTATTGAAAGGAACATTACGAGATGGTATTGTAAATTAATCAATTAAAGATCAAATGTATATTTTTTTCAACCATTGTTTTACTTTGTTGAAGATAAACGTTGAGAACAGTTGTGTATACATGTTGTATTTTTTTCACGCAACGTCTAAATTTCTCTTACATCATTGAAACAAATTAACACAATAAAATGCCGCCATGCCTTACACCAAGGTTTTGTAACGCATATGTTTCTTGTTACGCTTGTTCAGGTGTATGTTGTTTACATCTGACAAAAATAAATATGTCAAGGTTATAACGCAGTTAAGAAGAATGTGGAACCTTATCAGAATGCAACTCGTGATGTTAATACAATTGCGCAGTTTTCTCTCAAAATATGTTTTACATTACTTGTTGAACATCAAGAAATGTCTTTGTAAATTTGGAATATGGAACGTTTCAAGATGTATAACTTGCATTTCTTTCAGTTGATTTTACTACTTATTTTTGATAGTGTTAATGGTAACATGGAATGTGATTGTAACACTATAGCTGCTATACAGGAAGTAATGCAAAAAGAGTTCTTTCAAATTAAGCTTGAAAATTCTAAGATGGCGTCACGCCTGCGAAGGTTGGAGGCTTCAAGCAAACAGTCTAAGACGATGAATCATCAACATTTAGAAACAGGTAGATTGAGTTCATTTTCTGTGTTTTGAGTTGCTTCAGGTTTTTCAAAAGGAAACTTTTTTCTTGTGTATCAAATATCTTATTAGGTCAATCAAAAAAATAATTAGAATGCCTCAAAATTATCCACTGGTCATCAATGCATTTTTAATTCATGTTTTGTAAATTAATATTAGAACTAATGAAAGTGAATTATTTTCAGTCATACTTTTAATATTCAAAAGACAGGAAAATGACATGTTTTAATTCATTTTTGTGTCATAGCTTCTTTTATTTTATTTATTTTTTTAAATCTATTTTGTTTTATTAGTATTTTTATCATATGTTTAAATTATTATTTATTTATTTATTTATTTATTTATTTATTTATTTATTTATTTATTTATTTATTTATTTATTTATTTATTTATTTATTTATTTATTTATTTATTTATTTATTTATTCATTTATTTATTTAAATTTTTATATTTTGAGATATTTTCTCAATATGTTACACACATTAGAGAAGTTAATTACATAATTACTTCTGATAAGTAGTTATCATTAATGCGAATGGGACTGTAATGTATGTAACACAATGTATGATTATATTGATAGTTTTTATAATAACATTTATGATCAAACCAAAAAATAATTAAATGTGGATGCTGTAGGCTTATTTGAGATATATGATTCGATATTAATTATAAAAATACGAGGGATGTCCGGAAAGTTCATATACTTCTTCATTTTTTATTGTATAACAATACATATGTTGTACAAATTTTGTCAGCAAAAATATACATATCTAGCGAACACATTTATCAAAAATTACTGAACTGTGACTTACATGTGAATTTTAACAGTAATTACATAGAACATATATACCTCACCATGGAGCACTTTGACAACGTCAACGGCGTCAAATTAATTTCATGTTTACCCGCTATTCAATTTCTTCCGATTTCAACAGCCATGGTTCCTGTCTGGCATATACCTAAAACATGTTATGTTGCTTTTACTTTATGAATTTCATATTAATATTTTTATTTAAAAACAAAAATATTACTGGTTCTCATACAGTGTGTGAGATGTCTCTCTTTTTAAAAGGTTGTTGTAACGCAATATACGATATTTTGCCCATGCTACCTTTGGTCGTCTGTAGCGTTTCGATATACTGTCATCGCCGCCTCTTAATTAAACATTTTATGGTTGGTTTTGTTTTTAAAGTAAAGATTAAAATCTCAAATGGTGCCATATTAGCGTCGCTATGAAGTTAAATATCATTACGTTGCTCCGTCCGTGAAGTCATTTTCGCAACACAAAATTTGTGCACCTTCATTGCCTATTTGCGTACGCCGTCTTTGTTTTCACTCAATATCATGTAATAGTGTCTCATGATGTCAAAAAATTAAAACATGAGTTTGCGCAAAAATAACAACTTTTAGCAAATTATTATTCGAGTAGCTATCGTCATGAAATCAAAGTGCTCCGAGATTCGTTGATCATGTTGTCATGGTGATCGGCACTTAGCAAATATTTTTTTATCATGTTTTATAATTTAGAAATATGTAGCAGATAAATACTTTAGCAAGCAAAATATTCAATCATCATATTGATATGCCTGTTTATGATAATTGTATAGCCTTGTATACGAACTTTCCGGACAGCCCTCGTATAGCAGATAATTAAATGTTTTAGGACAAAATATTATCATTCATCATATAAATGTTGGTAAATATATTAAAAATGTTATCAACATTGATCAAAATGAAACATTTCTTTTTGGTTTTCTTAATCAGTATTTTGAATACGTACGAAACTGTGTCTTTTATCATTTATATCACGGGGGTGATGGTACATTGTAATAAAAATGATAGCTGTTATAATTAATGTTAGTGTTATTTGAAAAAACAATATTGACTTAATTACAACTGAATCTTAAAAAAGAAAAGGTTAATACGTGAGTTATAGAATAATATGCAAACCTCTTAAAAAAAGGTTTTTTTATCGGAACGACTGGAACTGAAAACTTGTGAAAAAGATTTTTATTTATCAATTGTTTCCAAAGTGATTTCTAAAATATGTGCATGTTTTTAAGACATAATTAATTGAATTATTTGAACAAAGAGAATGAAATACAATATAAAAAGAACGTAAATGAGATTTTGCCGCAATCATATGATCATTTATTTACCTTATTTCAGTTTCCGACATGACAAAAGACCTAGATAGCAGTCATGACAAAACAAGAAATGATATTAAAAGAATAGAGACTATCGAATCAACATTGGCAAGAATAGTACCACAGTTTGAATTTTATATTGAAAACAAGACGGATGATATAAAACAGAGAATACACGGACAACGCATAGATAAAGTTGAGTCTGAACTCGCTTTAGTATCTAACAAAACAGACAGTCTACTTGACATGAACGATGGCGGTGAAAACGCGATGGTACAGTTAAAAAGGACTATAAGAAAGGCATTCCACGGAGAAAAAATAAAAGGATTGAATTTCAAACTTAAAATAAATGAAAAAGTAAAGAATATTGAAAAGTATTGTGTAAACTTTACAATATCATCTGGACAACTTATCGACGAGTTCAAGAAAGAAGTTGCTATTGAAACCAAAGAATTTGCAGCCGAGATGAATCAAAAAGAAATAAACATTAACAATACAATAAATGACATTAAATTTGATGCGATTTCACGCTTTGATGATTTAGAAAATGCATTGTCTAAGACAAAGAAAACACTTTCAAATCTGGAAGATATTATATTAAAGGACAGGACAGGTAACATTTATTTCATTAATCTGACTGTATAGATACTAATATATGTAGGCGTATACATTTAAGCAGCATCCCTCCAGATTGCTGGAATTATTTAAAGAAACTAAAACTTGAGAAAAAGGTAATACGATTCAAAGACAAGTAAAATGATTCAAGATTCAAGTGATGATTTGTTTGAATATGCGATAAATGACTGATGTTTTGGGTATTTATCACCAGATTTCTACTACGTGACTAACGTGGTAAGGGCAATATGTTTCATAATTTGACCTCGTTTTGGTAATTTGCTTGGGTTGTTAGTGCCGTTTGCAATGTACAAATATTTTCTTCCTTTGCTTCACAAAATTTAAATTTGAAATACATTTTTTAAAGTTTAATGAAAATGTGCATGCATTTGATGCTTTAAAAGTTATTAATACTTATGTTACTATATATAGTAACAGAAATATATAGTAACAGAATCTAGAGTATTTCAGGGCCATTATGGCAAGATCTAGGTCATAAATCAATTTTGGCCACCTTGCTTCTCGGTATTATTTTTCCATAATGGACGAGTGAATGAGCGCACGTGCAGATGGCTGCTGACGTTGAATTAACTGTATTCACTTGCACATAAAATATTCTAAAGTTTAAATGACATTATTAATCACAATCAGCAAAGCTTAACATTAAAGATTATAAACGCAAGACAATACATCACCTTCAGAAATTCTAAAAATGTTTAAGGTTGACGGTAGATAAGAGATCGGACTGGTGATATTAGTCTCATAAACCTTTCAAGATTGAAGGCACAAAACTTCATAAATGTAAAGAGAAGGATACTGTATTTATCGATAAATACAACAATAAAACAACATGTCCTTAAATTTATTTTGTGTTGTCATGTTTTCCAAGTTAATCGGATGGTTAAACTGTACCTGATAGGTATTTGTTTACATTGACAATGTTCGTTTCTTCGAAAGGGCAACAAACAAGATTAGCGGCGATGTTCAAAAGCTGTATTTCGGACATATGTATTAAAGACGTTAATACTTGTTTGCGGCTCGTCATTACGCAATAATGGCCCTCGAGTTCATAATGTCCTTCGGGCCTGCGGCCCTCAGGCCACTATGCACATATTCGGGTCATTATCGCATAATGGCTAGCAGCAACCAAGTATTAACCTCTAAATAATACAGTACAAGTTTAGCGACGATTTTCATTTGACCGTTGTATTACCTTCACCCACTATTGCTCTAAATGATTAAGTTGTTTTTGTATCTGAAACGTAAATGTTTAGGAGTAGAAGTCTTCCAGGTTGAATGACATCTAACACGTGTTCCGATAAACGAACACCTTTCAAAAACAGAAAACATGTACACCCCCGGAGGCAACTTAAACAGTATACATATATGAAAATTATTGAATTGCTATGTAAAAGCCTGTTGTTCTATTCATTGTGTAAGGTTATATAGCCTGACGAATATTTTGTGTATAATTAATGAATTTCATTTACTGTGAAATGTAATGTGTTCTCGTCGAAAGCTGAATGTGCACCATATTCAGAAAAATAACCTCCTCGAAATAATAAGTATATGATCATACTTCCAAATATAACGTTTCAATCAATTGACGGGAAATTTCTGTTTATTTTATTTCGACACATTTTATTCCAATACATAATAATGGAATCAGCTATATAGTGTTGCATTACAACAACATATATTTAATCTCAAAAAGTTCTTCTGAATCCGAATTTTCCCTTAAAAGGTGTATATGTATTTTTATAAGACAAAAATGCTAAAAAATTAAACTGAATTAATGAAGAATATTCTGTTGTAGATGGAGGATGGAGTAGTTGGGGTAGTTTTGGCTCGTGTAGTGACACTTGTGGTAGAGGAGTAATGATAAGATCTAGAACATGCTCACAACCCAAGCCATCTCTCAGAGGAAAACATTGTGAAGGTTCTCCAATACAAATAGCAGTCTGTAACACGAACACATGTCCAGGTAACATGATAAATAATTTTGAGGGCAATTATTTAGTCATGAATTACAATTGGCTTTAAAATCTCTATGTAAGGAAAAGCTTTATCTTCTCGGGTTAAATGTGTTCATCGATATTTGAATTCTTAATTTGGCTGAAGAAAGACAGTTCATTTAACATTTTATTAGATTTTATCCGGGTTGTAAGACAACCTGAAACAATAATGGTCAAAGCTCAGCCGATGACGGATTACCTTACGTACTAAGCATGTGCATTGCTTTAGGTGGTGTAAATGTTGGTAGTTTTCACTCCGGATCAGGCCAGTTAGCCACATTGAACGTACCAGAGCTCAGTGTAACCACTGCATCATTCCTAAGCAGGTTGTCAAGCAGTAAACACTTTTGCAAGGAACTGATAACTTCTGTACATGCCAGAGCAGAGGTACAGTGAGAATGACCGTAGAAAGAATTTCATGATCAAACACAAGAAAAATGACCTGCACCGTCCGGGAATCGAACCTAGGTCACACGATTCACAGTCCAACGCTATACCTTTTGAGTTTACCGGGAGGCTTGCATTGCTAAAGGCTTATGCAGTCAACACACTACCGTCCATGAATAGTTGGCTAACTTTCATTTTATGTGATTTTATGTCAAAGATGTTAACCAATGTTAAATTTCATATGTATAACAAGAACATTAAGGTTATATTACATAGCAAATCAGCATCATGTGATAAAATCGTTTATGTTAGTGTTTACATGTTATGTTTCGAAACCCAAAAACTGTTTTGATGTTTATTTTCAAATATTTAATCAGAACTTTTAAATGCATAACGATTGATCTGCATTTGTATTTCAGAAATGAGAATATTTTTTACAGCAACTGGTATAACTGGAAGTGACACTGCAATATTTCCAAAAAGTATTCAAAATTACGGCAACGGATATGACAAATCTACGGGACACTTCAAATGTAAATATCCAGGAATATACATGTTCTCTTTTCAAATTTCAAAACCAATGTCTTATACAGGTTTCATGTATTGTAAAATTTATCTTAATGATTTACATATAGTAGGGGCGGTAGGGAATCCGGATAGTGATGTCGATATTGGTTTTTCTATCAGTGTGTCCGGAACGTTTCATTTAAATACAAATGATGAGGTATATGTCAGTGGTTGTGTTGGAATCGCTAAAGCTTATAACGACTACGATTCGTCATTTACTGGGGTACTCATAGTTCCAGATAATATCTAGAAATATGATATTTTTTTAAAACAAATGAGGACACTGGATTGCATATGTAATGACATATGATCACATTTAACATATTCAATTTAATTACATGTATGACAAACAGTTAACACTTGACACATGTTGCGTCTGACAGTAAATGGAAATGAACACTTTTCAACCGTATATCATTTTTAGGATAATGGGTACAAGCCAACTTATAAAAGATCTAGAGGTTTTTGACACACACAAAAAAACATATTGTCTCCCAAAAACTATATATGATCACTCATGTGAAGTTTAGTTGAAATCCCACCAATAGCTTGACCTGTGAAAGCCGGACAAAATTTTATGACGCCTTGAAAAGGCGACGTTTAGGGGTTACTTTTGACGGCGGCGTCGGTGTCGGCGTTGGCTTCCCCTAAGGCTTTACCGGAGCATAATTCTGTCACTATAAGGCGGATTGACTCCAAACTTCGTATTTATGCCTCTTTAAATAACCCAAAGTATTCTGCACTTCTTAATTTTGAGTTATTGCCCTTTGTTAATTTTTATACTTTAATTTTGTCCGGGCCATTTCTCCTAATCTATAAAAGCTATGGACTTGAAACTTCATAGGATGATATATCTCATTAAAAAGAAGTGCAATGCAGAAGAACCGCCGGTACTCTGCACTTCTTGTTTTTTTTTAGTAATTTCCCTTTGTTAATTTTCATATTTTATTTTTGGCTAGGCCATTTCTCATAAATAATAAAAGATATGGAATTGAAACTTAATCGGATGACACTGATCACTCCTGTAAAGTTTGGTTGAAATCCCAACAGTAGTTTGACCTGTGAAGGCCAGACAATATTTTTCTATTTTTAGCTCTAATGCCCGTTTTGTGCAGCGAAAACTGCCGATTATGTGCACAACTAGGGATGGTACTGATCACTCCTGTAAAGTGTGGTTGAAATCCCACCTTTAGTTTGACCTGTGAAGGCCACACAAATTTCTTTTTGATTTTTTAGCTCTGACGGTCATAGTGTGCAGCGAAGCATAACATGCCGGTAATAGGCACTACTAGGGATAGTACTTATCACTCCTGTAAAGTTTGGATGAAATCCCACTAGTTGTTTGACGTGTGAAGGCCGGAGAAGATTTCTATTTATAACTCTGGCGGCCATTTTGTGCAGCGAAGCGGAGAGTGTCGGTGATGTGCACAACTAGGGATAATACTGATCACTCCTGTAAAATTCGGTTGAAATCCTACCAGTTGTTTGACCTGTGAAGGCCGGACAAGCTTACTTCGGACTGACGGACAATCGGACGGATGGACGGACGTGTCAACATTTGGGGTTTATGTACTTTTTTATCTCTATCTGGCACTTTAACCCATAAACAAGTAAAATACCATATCAACTTGTCAGTTTATGGGATTTTTTCCTTATTTTAACTAAAATTATGGACGGCATGAAGCTTATAATCCATTGGATGTTCGCCCGGACAGACTGACGGCGAAGGCAAAAACAATATGTCTACCAAAAATTTTGGGAGTCATAATTACATAATGCAAACATCATTATGTAAATTACAGATTCGAACAACGTACTACATGTCAAAAATACATCAGTTACTATATATATGAAATACGCATTCAAATAATGCATTTAAATGTACAATTGCCAGGGAAAAACATGAAAACGTATGACGTTTGTGATTAGCACATTTAAGCCATATGCATGTACTATACGTGTAAGAGGAAAGCGGATAATTGTGAAAATAAGGCATAAATCAAGTCATTATTTGTTTTGTTTTTATTGATGACACCGGATCTTGATTTAGTGAAACGCTTTATGCTTTATTCATCATGACAATCTGTTTTGAAGAATTTCACATTAGCCAGGTATAAAAACTACACCTCATCAATCACCTCACAATAATTGTAAGATAATATATGATAACCAACGATAACCAACGAAAGAATTTGTTAATATTTGAAAATATTTTATTGTTAATTTATTATAACTTTCATAACATACGCTTATTATTTGTGCTTTAATTGTCATTGGTCACCTTTGATAACATATGATTACAGGAGATAAATAATGTATATTGAATATTGATGACGTATAAAACATCTTGATAAACGCTTATATTTTATTACATATGTTCATTTTGATAGCATTTGATAACATGGGGTAAGATTTGATGACACCACACTGTTACGTTAAAAACTTCAGGATACTTAGCATTTTGTTAAAATGGCTACCTTGAAATTTCAAAATAATGTGACTGTGTAACTATTTAAGATTTAACTCTACGTTTTTCAGAAATATATTGAAAATTGTATAATTATTATGGTAGACATCAGAAAGCGAAGATAACTGTTACATGACATTTAAACTAACAAATATAATGTCATCTCCCTTTCATACGCTATTCATACACTTCAATAGTCATTAATTCAAATAGTTACACTTTGTTTTATTATTATTATTCTTCTTCTTATTATTATTATTATTATTATTTTAACTATTATTATAAAACGCTTGTCATTAAATGATCTGCAAAAAAATAACAAAACAATAAATGAGCATCTGATTCAGAACCAAATAAAAACATTGGATTTCTTGACTTTGACCACACAATATGAATTTGTTCACGCTAAATCTTATTAAAAGTATAAAGATATGTAATAAAAGTGCTAATTTTTGTAACATCTTTCAAACATAGTTCTTCAGATGCAAAATAAGGGTTGTTTTGTTCTTTGCAATATGTAAAGATATTATAATTCCATCTAAAATTTAAACATTTATATTGTATTGTATTTCATGTTATTTTCATATAATTATTAACCTTTTGGTAATAAAAGCGTTGTGTAAAAGTTATTGAAGTTTTGTCACCCTGTTGATCATTTACTAATATATAAATTTCTGGATGAGATTAATTTTTCTTTAAGCGGAATACACAAAAAGAAGTATAAATTGTTATATATGTGATTTCCTTTATTTATAACATTACTTATTTGTGATTTGTTTTTTAAGATATATCAATTTAAAGTTAAATTTTATAAACTGCCCTTTTTTTCAAAATAATGTATAATAATGTTTTGTACCATCTTGCATTGACCAATTCAATTATGAAAACTGAACATGTGATATTATTTGAATTGAATAAAGTTAAGATGGCACGTAGGGCACAAAATGGGCGCAATTTAATAGAACACTTGCCATTTGTTACTCGTGTAACACTAAGTAACTCCTATATAACGCATGTAAATTCAGTAACATTTGTAACACGTTTGCTTGAATTTGTTCCCTTACATATTGACACAATTTTGTGCCTTAATTTTTCATATTAATCCATACTCTCGTAACACTTGTAACAATGCTGTAACAACTATGTAACAACATTGTAACATCTGTAACCTTATGAATTCCGATTTCTGACCATTTTAAAGGCTTGTGCTGTAACACTTGTAACAACCTGTAACATTTGTAACAATAATGTGTGGAAATATCTTTTCACTCCGAATTCTCGTTACATTTGTAACAATGCTGTAACAACTATGTAGCAACCTTGTAACATAAATGTAACCCTATTTATTGTGTTTGACCATTTTAAAGGCTTGAGCTGTAACACTTGTAACAACCTGTAAAATTTGTAACAATTATTTGTGAAAATTTCATTTCACTACAAACTCTCGTAACACGTGTAACAATGTTCTAACAACTATGTAACAACCTTGTAACATCTATGTAACCTGATTTATTCCGATTTCTGACCATTTTAAAGGCCTGTGCTGTAACACTTGTAACAACCTGTAACATTTGAAACAAACGTGTGTGAAATTTTCATTTCACTCCAAACTCTTGTAACACTTGTAACAATCCTGTAACAATGCTGTAACAACATTGTAACATCTATGTTACCTTATTTATTCCGATTTCTGGCCATTTTAAAGGCAAATTTGTTACAGCTTTGTTACAAGTGTTACAAGAGTTGAGAATGAAATGAAAATTTCATAGATAATTGTTATAAATGTGTTACATTGATGTTACGTACATGCTACTTAGAGTTATTCTTTTGACATATTAGGAGTGTTTCATTAAATTGTGCCTATTTTGTGCCCTATCTCATCATTTTGATATGTTTCATAAAATGTTGCATGATAGAAACAAAGTTGATAAAGTGGTTGGTCAAAGCGAATTAGTGTAGAGTAAGTCGGGAATTTCAAAAATCAATAAGGACACTTATTCGAGAACAAAATATTATATCTCATCATAGAAATGTGCTTACTAAAATAATCACTTTCCACTTTATCAACTTTGTTTCGATCATGCAACATTTTATAAAACATATCAAAATGATACATGACTATAGTTTATTTGAATGTTTGAAATAGTAGTTCTAATGCAAAATGTGCCAGTTGAAGTCAATTTCTATTTAACGGTCATTTAGCAGTATTTTTATGACATTTTTCACTATCAATTATTGGTTTATGACAATTATAATAGTGAATGTTTAGATATGAAGCCAATTCAGCTTATCTTGTAACGAAAAGGATAATTATGTTTCTTTAATCAATAAACATTAACTTTGTTTCTTTGTTGTTTTTTTTTCTTTTTTCTTGGGGAGGATACGTCGAACCAACATAGTAATGATCAAATGGCGACTTTCCAGCCCTTCTATTGGACAAATACCTCAGGTGTCACAGTGTGCATTTTAAGACACAAAAAAGAGAGTAAAAACAACGACATTTCATTAGCCAGCTGAATAGCTTCCTGTTATCAGAGAATCCGAAGACACTTGCGCGGCCTGAAGCTACAACTGTGAGAAGCAAGTGTTTTGAGATTAAAGAACTTAACCACTCGGCTAGGGACGCCCAAACAACGTTTAACTTATACATTATCGTTACTATTGTGTCGTTTACGGTAAAGTGTATTTTGAATATGATTATGTATGTGATTTTATAAATGACTAACATTTGATCGACATTTTGTTTGTGGAATATAACAGTTTTTCAAGGCATTTGTTTGATATACGTCGTAAATAGTATCAATTGATTGCAATACAAATACAAACTACATTTTACAATGAATTATATTATATATATATTATATATATTATTCGCAATCAACACCAATATTGTCCATAAATTAAGATTTATTGTTGGAAAATACATTGAATCTAAGTTCTTTGTGGAAAGCAGATTTAAATAAGCATTAACGTACGTGCTGAAATGTCTGTAAGACAATGAATAATTTAGTTAATCTGGTAATTTGAATTGAATTAAATTATAAGCTTTTCATGCCCTAGCTATTATTTGAATTTATCTACTTTCCTTTTTTTGTTCAAATGGTTATGTAATAGTTGTAGATCATTTCTCAAAGTTTAAACATAAAATCAACAAAATGAGAAACGCATCAGTACATACTTTTGTAAAAGGACGAGGTTTCATTTGTTATCTGTTTGTTGAAAATCGACAAAGTGTCTATTCATGCTATGTTTGTTGGTCTTCTAATTTGTGTCAAATCAAAGACAGAAACCACTGATGCAAATTACGGTATGGTCAATCAATATTGAAAGCTTGTTAGTGACTGTCAGAAACCTTCTCCATTCCTTTAATGAGATCAGTGAGAAAAATAAATTGATAATTTTCGAGAATAACAAATTTCTGAAGAAAACTGATGCATCGGAAGCATTGAAAAGTTCCTATATATTAATGAAAGAACCAACAACATTACATGGGAGGATAACACCTGATATTATCCTGATAATGTTATAAAAATTTCAATGATAATTATTTTTTTCCTGAATAATTCGGACGTTTATCGCAAAACGATCATTCCTTCTAAGAAATTGATTTGTTCAAATTGAAGCGTTTGATTGTTGGTTTAATGTGATATTTAAATAGAGAAAAAGAGAATGCCTAAAGAAAGCACGACAGGGCAAAGTTTTTAATGTTGCAGGCTCGGTTTCATTGAGCCTGTTCATGGACGGTACTGAAAATGAGACTAAAACAGCGTTGAAGCACAACACTAAATACCGTACTCCGGTATATACCGGACAAGACGCTCAAATAGTTAAGTCGCTCAGTTAAATGCTAAGATCTCGCATTTGTACATGTACCAGCCGGAATGCACTTTTTGACTAATTTATGTGTTCTGACAACAATTTACTTAGTTTATAAATACAAAATGTAAGAATCGCCGAAAAAAGGGACATTTTCCTTCTTGTGATCATGATATGTGTCAAGCGTCTAGAGAGACTGCTTCAACACATCAGTGAGTTGAACATAACATTTTTGTCGTTATGATTTTCTTACATCTTGAATAGCTAACTACGTCACATGGAAAGACATGTAGTAAATATTTCTTTAAAGCATTATGAACGATGAAATAAACACATTTTAAATGTTACATGCATATTAAATATGAATAATAACATTAGAACAGAGACCGGAAAGGCAAGGCGACCTTCACAGAACGAAGCCCCCGATAAAACCCAGCCACACCAGCAAAGAACCCAGAAGCTCAATGAACCAGTCATATTTCATCTTAGGTAAACAACGGTAATTATTAAAATTGCATCTGATGTAAAATATTCTAGTATTTTGATCTCGCATGCAAAACATAAAAAATACAGCATCCAATACGCTCTTTATTTATTAATGATGATATAAAATAACATTACCAAATTATTTGTAATGATTCATCATGAGACAAGTGTCTCATTTACAACACCACTTATCATAATTAATTGCTATCTGGAATAGAATATATAAATGATTCCCTAATGGCAGTGATATATCTATAATTACAATGGCATATATATCGTTGTCAGCATCAGTCTTTATGGTCATATAATGGTCGAGAATGGATTGGCATTATATCTTATTTATAATAGAAATTATGTTTGAATTAATATATAAAATGGAATTGATATAAACTAGAAATAAATTTGGATTTGATGTATCCCCTAACACACACACGCGTGCGCAGGGCGGACGGACAAAGTTTATTATATACGCCCCCGTCCCCCATGTCCTTGAGTGGGGCATATGAGTTAATTTTGTTATGGCATTGTCTTCATGTATATTTGCTTTGTAATAATTCCATTGCAAAAAAGAAACCAATTTATAACCATAACAATTACAGTTTAAAAGTTATAATTATATATATTTTTAAATAAAGACCTTGTTCTTAAATGCATTTTATTTAGATTGCTTGCATTGAAATAATTTCATTACAATAATGAAACCATTTTATAACCATTACAATAATAGTATAAATGTTATAGTTATGTAACTCACATTTTTTAAATAAACATTGTGTTCTTAATTGCATCTTTGTACATAAAAATGATATGTTATTATAGAAATTTTAAAGTTATATTGAATAAATATACAAAAGTATTTTGCCATCGGCCTAAAAACCAAGCTGTCTACAGTTTCATTACCCAGTATTGTCGTACATCTCATCAAATATTGTTCATCAATTGCGATTTTAATTGGAAAACTCCGCGGTAACACTAATTCGTATACGAATTTTAACATGCAAATGAATACTTTAATCAACTCGTGTACTGTCCTAGGATGATAACTTGAGCCTTTGTTTACATAACAAAGACCAATAACAATGCAAAAAATAGGTTAGGCAGATCAATGCCACAACCTATAAAAATGAAAATTAAACTACATGTTGTCATATGTCTTGTTAGCGCAGTAGGTAGAGCAACCGTGTCAGTAATGTGTTTTACCCGTACAAGCAGAAGTTCGACTACTGGTAAGACACATTTTTTTTTACCTCAGAGCAGTCAATTGTTCAAAAAAAAATTCGTATACATAGTTTATTACATTAATATGAGATCGAATATTTTATTACTCTGCGATCAAAAAATGCAAAAAGAAAATAGAATAGAAATAAAAAAATATATACAATAAAATATATATTATAAGAATAAATCAAAAAGGAAAACGAAAAATAAATAAATAATAATAATAATAAAAAACAGATAAAGAAGAAAAAACTGTAGTTATAAAATGGCACTACGTTGGGTTCGAACCTATGAGTTCAAAATGATAAAAGTTACAATGTCTTCGATCTACCGGCAGAGCCATAACGGTAATATACAATTGATACTGTAAGAATGATGCTATATAGTATATGTAAGAGTTTACTTTTACGATATCGGATAATAATCCAGATAACCCCGTTTTTGGACTTTTCCATGTACCGTTAAGACCAAATTATCATCCTAGGACAGTATGCGCTACGTCACAGTGTATTATTTACTATCTGAAACACATCAATATGAGATTTTCTTGTGCAACACATTTTAACCGTTTTAGCTTCACGGTACATTAGGCCTGGCGTTAAGAAAAAATAAATCATCTCATAAAAAGATTAATTTCGACTGTAAACATCCGTTACATTGCGGAAATATACTGTTTGATTAGGACTGCTACGTATAGCCATGTTTGTTGATTTAATATTCTTGTATGGGTGATCCAAAGGGGGTGTTTTTCATGCAAACAGAAGTTGTACTTTAGATTTCGCCACAATGCGGTTCCAGACTCGTATGCTTTTAAAATGTCAGTTTGGTTGTCTTAACAACAAGATAAATTCTTAAGTCGATATGAAACCAATTTTATTAATGAAATGTCGCTATTTCTGTTTTTATGAAATTTCTTAAATGCAGCTTCTATAGAAAAAAATCAAAGGTATATTTCTTTTTCATCATTTCTTTAACTTTGTAGAAGATAAACGAAGATAACAGTTGTGTTTATATATTTTCTTTCAGTCAACTCCTAGATTTATATTACATCATTGAAACAATTTAACACATTAAAATGCCGCCATGCCTTACATCAAGGTTTTGTAACGCATATGTTTCATGTTACGCATGTTCAGATGTATGTTGTTTACATCTGAAAAATAAATATGTCAAGGATATGACGTAGTTTATAAGAATCTGGAATCTTATCAGAATGCAACTGGTGATGTTAATACAGCTGCGCAGTTTTCTCTCCTATCATGTTTTACATTACTCGTAGAACACAACGAAATTGCTTTGTAAATTTGGAATATGGTACGTTTCATCATGTATAACATGCATATATTTCAGTTGATTTTACTACTTATTTTTTATAGTGTTAATGGTAACATGGAATGTGATTGTAACACTATAGTTGCAGTACAGGAAGTAATGCAAAAAGAGTTATTTCAAATCAAAGTTGAAAACTCTAAAATAACGTCACGCCTGCGAAGGTTGGAAGCTTCAAGCAAAAATTCTAAGACGATGAATCATCAACATTCAGAAACAGGTAGATTGCGTTCTTTTAATTTTCTTTGTTTTTAGTGATTTAGTTTTTCAAAAAGAAACTTTTTTCTTGTGTATCAAATATCTTATTAGACCAAACAAAGAAACAACCAGAATGCCTCAATATTATCCAC